AAAGGTGGTGGAAAACCCTTTGTCCAGGGTGGGACACACACACACATCCATAATTACCGGGTGTTTGTTCAGATGAAATTGATGTTTTTGTAATATCACTTCAGTTGTATGGGTGTCGCCGAGGTATCTGTCCACTACTCCCATCGTCGCTTCAGGAAGCCTGAACTCGATGCCTGGCTGTGAAGGACAGGGAACTGGGAGAATCCACGCACTGCAGACGTTGACACGGCTCTTGAGTGCAAATTGGTTGATAGCTCCCTGACAAAGTCCGTGATACCATGATTCAACGAGTCCGCTGCCTCCGCTGGACCCACTTGGATGGTTTCAATCCTTTATGCTGAGTGGGCGGGCATCATTCTCTTTGAAAATGCGCGCTGACGTGCCCTGTGCTTTGGCTGCAGTGTTAGCGACAGCCTCCAGATTGACGGCTATCAGCTATCACGTGTCAAAAACAGATCTGCTCATGTTGGAACGCTTGCCGTTGGAGCATCGTTGGGTTCACTCGGGAGGTGTTGCAGGATTCTTTGCTGGAGCACTTGGAGGTGCTGCTGTGCCCTGCTGGTGCCTATGCCGGAGTTCGGCTTGGAGCCATTGGTTCAATCGATGGTCGGCGGTTTGATTGGACCAATCACACCACCGACCATGGATTGAACCGATGGCTCCAAGCCTGCGTGGGGTCATTGGACAAGAGATGGGAGTCGCGATCAACGCAGCTCATTTTCAGCGAAGGACTAGTGCTGGCAGTTGATGCTGGCGATGATGGGGCGACGAAAGCAATCTTTTGCGAGATGGTGTTCCAGAGGGCAACGAAAGCTAGCGAAAGATGAAGAGATTTGAAATCACGAGCCTGGCTGCTCACAAAAGGGCCAATCCAACCAGTCAGCAGTGCAGGCTTCCAAAATCACCTCCAAAGTCTTGTGGCATGAAAGTGCATCGTTATTTTGGGGAAATGTTTTGGCAACGAAGGTACGGGTGCCTATAGTAATTAGAAGTAATTAGATCCTTGGCCATTGATGTCCAACTAGTTTTTCGGGATGCTTCGGAGTGAAAGAGCGACACTTTAGACAGCTTTAGATACCGATATCATCGATGCGACGGGACGTGTCAACTGGGACGTGTGCACTGGAGCGGCTTTGGAACATGGACTTAAAAACACCTAATTTAAACAATGCCACTAGCGTTTACCTGTGCACATTTGGAACTTGGAACATGCATATGCCATATATATATGCATCCATGTGCATGGAATGTAGAAACATGGACCATGGCGTTTTCGCAGTTGATGAGCCGAGCCCAGGAACGGTCTCCAGTGCCACCCACCAAGTTCCGCCTCGGTTGTGGCACCGGCTGGTGCGACAATCATGCCCCTCAGCTGCCTGCAAGGATGGCTCTGTGTGCTCGGTTGAGGATGCCTCCAGGATGATTCAGGAAGCTTGTGATTTCCAGCAGCTTTAGAGGAAAAGGTGATACCAGAAATGGCACAATGTTCCTTTGGGTGGGGCAGCAGTGAACTTGTCGGTTCGCGCTCGTTTGCCAAGGAAGCAGTTTCAGGTGTGAAGTGGAGCAAGCACGAGGAGGGACCTCCGGTCCATGCCGGTTGTGTTATGACTTGCTTCACTGAATGGGTGGTTGAGTGATGCGTTGTGTTTGCAAAACATGCCTTGTGACAAACCTGCGTGGCGGCCTCTTTTGCACGCGCTTGTCCAACAGGGAGGATGAGGTCCAAGCATGACGCACAGCGTTTGCTTGATTTTGGCTGTGGCCCCTTGGGTTGCTTGTGGTGCTGCGATGCGTTGTGTGTTTGGTTGCCGGCCGCATTTCGAGGATGGATGGACTTTCAGCACAACCTACAAGGAGGGGGGAGCGCAGAGAGAATCTTATACAATCTTATATGACAGTTCCTTCGCAAAGTCAGGACGGTTCCAACACAACCGAAGTCAATGCAAGACTTGCAGAATTCTGTTTCGCCTCCTTGGCCGATCGATGCCGCTCACGGCGCAGGATTTCCATGACACTGGCTATTGTAAGCCTCGAGAGCGGCCGGGCAGTGCTCCTTTAAGCAGGCATGGCGAAAAAGGAAAGGTTGTTACGGTCTTGAGAATTTTGGGGCACTTCCCTTGGACTTTGCCCTTAATTATGCTGCGCTGTTGACGAGGGGGAGGAACAGACAACGTGGTTTATGGCAGTCACGGCACTTGAAAAGGCAGTGTGGATTTGGGGTGCCAGGAAATACCACCGGCGTGTGGACAAGTTGGTCACGACAAAAGACTGGAATTGTGTCTTAACATACTCGTAGTTTGCGCAGACAAAGCTAGGGCTAGGGTCTTGAACAGTTTAACTTTACATATATAATTACATTCAGAATTTGTATGAATTTGTAATGGTCCTGTTTGAGAAGGACGCGCCCCCTGATTGCGTTTGTTCAGGATCATCCGTCGACCTGCCACTGCAGCGTGGTGAGGTTTACCTTGTTGGCCCAAGGTGGAATCGGGGACATGTGGACACCGACGTTTCATATGTTTCCCTCCCAGTTCCCGGCATTGGAGTTGGATGGACGCTACTGCCCAAAGGTTTGCAGACAACTGAGGAGTCAAATGGCAGTGGCAATGGCAGTGCCGGAATCTTGATTGGTGATTGGTGCTTTACTTGGCCTATGGTGTCGAATGGGGTAGCATGGCACAAAAGCACACTTAGGTTTTGAGATCATTCGGTCATTTGGTGCTGTGTCTTTTGCATCTCTTCCCAATTTTGGACACAAAGAGGCATGAGTTTACGCATGAAAGGGGTGCCGCATGAGTTCTGAAACTCAGAGCACCTTGATACTATGGGCACCTTCGATCTGTAGACTGTAGACTCAACAAAGCTAGGAGCAGCCAAAGAACCAGAGAACTTTTGGAGGAATCACTTATCAAGGTTTGGGCGCTTGTCAGATTTTCCATCACTTCAACAATCATGAAAGTAGAAACAGGCTTGTGGAGGGGAATAGTGTGCTTGTTGGAGACAGATTTCTGCCTTCTGCCTGCGTTCGTGCACCGGTGTCGATCGGCCAGGAGCAGCGGAGCATGAGGACCCACACCGCAGAGCATGACCGGGAGGTCCTTGCAAAAGTCTCGGAGGACGCCAACACCATGATAGTCTTGGAACGTCAATTCGTCCGTTGCAAGCTGTTTTCCAAGTCGCAGCACATGTAACGAAGGTTTTGGTTGGGAAAGGCTTGTAGCCCTCCGCTCATCGCTTTGCGAGCGCGTGCGGTTTCTGAGATTTTACGTCGAAAGGGCCAAAGATGCTCAGAGGGAAATAGAACCGAGGTGTGTGACGAGGGTTGGCAGAAGTTGTCCTGTTGGTCTTCAGGTATTATCAACTACTAGCGTGGCACTTGTTTCTAATAGCTTCTTGTTACTACTAGTAAGGCACCTGTTACTACTAGCGTGGCACTTGTTACTACAACATGCACCGGCACCCCACCGGGTATTTATCAAGGTTCAGACGTGCAGGCCTCCACCTAGTCACACGCCAAGACCAGGCCTGCAAGTCTGGTAACATGTCCAAGACCTGCGTGACTGTTCCACGGTTGTTCCACGGTTCCAAGGCTTTTTTGCCAAGCAAGGCAGCTTTGGATGGGAGAAGAGCGCACAATAGAGACCATGGAAAAACTGCGACGTGGGACTGAGACGTCCTCGAATATGAACATGGTAAGAACCGTTTCTAACACATGTTCAATCACCACTGGCCTTTCTGTTTGTCTTCATGAGGCCACTAGAATGCTGATAGTGTGGCCTTGTCAAGAGTTTGTGCTTTACGGCACGTGTCGGTTGACACCTGGTGCTTTCGGCTCAAGCTCTGTGTCTTGGCCTGCCTGGCCTTCTGGTCTAGCAGGCAGGATTCTTTTGGGTGAATGGTGTGAAAACCGGGAACCAGACGCATCTCACCTTTACTGTGGCAGAAGGCATTATGAGAGCCCAAATGCGTGTTTGCCCTGCCAGGGCTCTGAATCTCAGCTTATTGTTTCTGCTTCGCCTCCACTCAGTGGCTATGAGGCTATCCTGGTTTCTGTGGATGCTGTTCGCTTTTGACCATGCACCCTTCGCAGCGTTTCAGCGCCCACTCGTCGCCCAAAAACACCTCCTTGGTTCGCCATGGCTGTCGTTGGGAACGCCTTCACGGTGCTCAGCCCTTCAGCGCTGGCACCGGCGCACATGGAGGTACCAAAGGGCAACTTGGTGAGATGTGGTCCTTCTCAATGCCTTTCGGCCTTTCACTCAATGTGCAATGTAGATTCTTAGCTGGTTGATGAATAACCCCCCCATAATGAGACTGGTTTTACACCTCCATATGGGCCCGGCGGTTTTATTTGTCAACCATCGATCATCGTCGACCGTTTATTCGACCGATGCGGTCGGTTCAGGCAAGGAGCAGATGGGCAGCCACTTCTCTTCAGGCGCAGGCGCTGAAGACGGGAGGTCACTGAACTGCTCGAAGAGTTAATCATTCTAAGAATCATTCTACACCAATCACAGTGATTTCTGATCAGAGATTGGGTCATATTGGGTCAAGGTGCTTCGGGAGATCTTGGTCAATTGCATGTATTTGCAGGTCTTAGCACGAAGTCCGAGCTTGGATTTGCCACAGGCGCAGCCTTGACCGCGGCGGGTCTCGTGGCCGCCGCGGGCGCGCGGCGGCAGACCCGCCGGCAGACGCGCCGCCCGGGTGCGATGGTGGGCATGGCCATGGAGCCAGAGCAGCTGAGCGACACATGGCGATTTTTCAATTGCGAGAGTGAAGAGATAAGGGACGAGGGGATTTTTCTTGTGATAGAATGTGGTAGTCGACAGTGACAGTTTGTGAAAGCGTTTTTTGTTTGGACATTAGCTAAGTCATGTGAGTCGTCACTGAAAGACGGATGTGGTTGCTTAGACCTTGAAGGTATATCGATGTTAGTTCTCCCACACAACAATAGCGTCAGACCTGATGGCAATTCCAGCTGAGCCGCATTGAACACCGGCGGTAGTTAATCTTTCGGGGAATATATTTATTGTCTCAAATTTGGATAGCATTTCTGGTCCTCGAGTCCTCAAGGTCCTACTACCGTGACCACCTGGTGGCCTGCCGCGCACAGCTGAACGGCGTGGATGCGCCTACTCCTGAGGAGACTGACAAGCACATGGAAGGCATTCAAGCCTTTGCCAAGCAGGCCCTTGCTGGCGCCTCGGCCGCCATGCTTTTCACCAGCTCAATGGAGGCAGCCGTTGCGTACCCGATCTTTGCGCAGCAGAACTACGCAAACCCTCGTGAGTACACTGGAAAGATCGTGTGCGCCAACTGCCATCTGGCCAGCAAGACGATCGATGTGAAGCTTCCCCAGGCAGTACTCCCAGACACCATCTTCAAGATGGAGATCGAAGTGCCTGCCAAGTATGCCAAGCGCCGCCAGCCTTTGGCTGATGGCTCCAAGGGCCCCATGAACATTGGTGCCATTGCGGTGATGCCTGAGGGCTGGAAGTTGGCTCCCAAGGATCGCCTTCCCAAGCCTTTGAAGAAGGAGATGAAGGGCCTGGCCTGGGCACCTTACAGCAAGGTGAGGGTCATCGGTCATCAACCTCGAGACTATTGCAATGTTTCAAAGTCGGTCTTCCTTATTTACTGAGAAGTCTTGATTTGTGATTAACGTACATCTTTGACGCAAACACACCAGAGTCACAGAGCACACAAACATACGATAACATATACAACCACACACAAACACAAATACAGACACCCAAAGTATTCACAGTTCTACGATGTTTACGTGCAATGGAGTTGGTGCCGCTGTGGCTGTAGGAGTATCCCAACATCGTTGTGGCGGGGCCAGTTCCAGGCCGGGGGTGTTTGTCTCGTGAGATGCGAATGCCTCTAAGCCATGACGGGCCTTCGGTGGTGTGGCTGCAGCGGCGGGTGGCGGTGGTTACGGAGGTGATTGTGTTCGTTCTTTATTCGGTTCGTGTGCGGGGTTTGGCTGCTTAGCTGCTACAGCATTCTGGCCACGTGTTCTCGGGCCCTTGGGATCTGTGAGAGGTGGTTTGGGTTTCACTTAGCAGCTGGTGCAACCCTTGCTGGCCGTCCTTTGAATGGCTGCATGAGGCAAGAACACGTACCTTCCCCTAATTCCCTAAAGTGTGAAAGTGGACCAATGGCACGGAACAAAGACACCAGCTTTGTGGCCAGGTGAGACCTACGAGAAGATGGTCTTGCCGGTGCTTTCCCCTGACCCCAACACGGACGACACTCGTCAAGGTTGGGCCAACCTGCCACTCCTGGGCAGTAGGGTGGAGTAGGTAAACGTGGGAAAGTATGATGAGCCAAGTCTGTCTAGAGTAGGAATGCCGAGTCAACAGAGCATTATCATCATTGCGTGCTTCAACCGCTCTTCGGCAGCATTCGTGATCGTTCGTACTTGTGACGTCAGTCTAAAACTTAGGACAAGATCCTCTTTGGCAAGGGCATTTTCTACTTCGGTGGCAATCGCGGCCGTGGCCAGGTGGATCCAGATCCCGAAAACGAACAGGGACGCGAATCCAGGGACGAACAGGGACGTTTTCTGGAAATCTGTTTGGGCTCCTTGAGCCTTGAGCCTCGAGCCTCACAGAAAACTGCTGGTTCCTTCATAGAAAGCAGCCTGTTCCTTCCCTTTTCATTCAGATTCCGCGAACATTTGCCAATCTTGATTGGACAAAACAATATGTTGAAACGACGTGGTGTATACAGTTTGTTTTATTGAGCCGGAAGCACGTTGACCATTGAATTCCTTATTCTGCCTTTGCAGGTCTATCCTGAGGGAAACCAGAGCAACAACAACCAGTTCATGGCCGCTGCCACGGGAACGATCTCAGCCATTGATGGTCTCAAGGCCACTTGGCCCAAACAGAGTTTCGATCATTGCAAGACTTGACAGCTTTACCTTGCTTTACCCAACATTGGCCCAACATGTGGTTTTGTCTTTGGATGTTTTTGGTGTACTATTTTTGCGCAAGCTGTGGGCTCAACCTTCCAGGGGTAGGCTTGTTCGTCGAAGGCCCTTTCGATCCGCGTGATGACTCTCCCATGGTGGATGGAGGAGTTCCAAGCTCCATGCTTGGCTTGCCTCCGGGTTCGGGTGACCTCCGAATCGATGGTGGTCACCAAAACTCGTGGGATCCCGATCGTTTGGGCATCGCATGGCCATGAGATTGGAGCTGATCTCACCGTTTTCAACGGTTGGTTGACTGAGGATTCCAGTGCTGGCTCAGGTCTCAAGCTGGAGTCCATTTCGGCCACCTGCACCGTGCGCTTAGGTGGTTTCCAGAAAGATGAGGTCATTGAGCTGTGCTCGGGCCTTGGTGGCATGACTTCGGCAGCACGTGCCTTGGGACTGAAGTCAGTTGCCTGCATGGACCATGCTCCGCTTGCAGTGGAAGCCTGCCGTAGGAATCATGAGGGCTTTTGCCTCAATGGTGACATTTGCAATCCTGATGATTTGGCAAAGCTTTTCGTTTTGATGAAGGGAAACAGCATGGGGTTGATGTGTGGGTTTCCTTGTCCCCCCTTTAGTGTCATGGGGGATCAAAAAGCGTTTAGTGATAGCCGTTCGGAAGTATTCGTAGCTGCACTCAATGCTGCCTACCTCTTTGGCTCGGCCTACGTGGTGCTGGAATGCACGCCTACCACTGGCCAATATCGTGAAGTTCAAGAGCTCTTGTTTTCTTTCGCCAATGCCATGAATTTTGACAACAGGCAGCAGGTTCTTCGTTTGTCAAGTGTATGGCCCTGTCAGAGAACAAGATGGTGGTGCTTTTTACTTGCAATTGATGTCATGTCAAGTGACAGCATTTTGCCATCATTGCCGAAGTTTCCACACCTCCTCACTGTGGGTGACATCATGCCCTCCTGGCCTATCTGGTCGAAAGCAGAGGAAGAGGCTTTATCTTGGTCGCCTGAGGAGCACGACTTCTATGCCTCTACTTTGGTCCTGGAAAACCATGAATTGCGGCAATCAGGTGTCTGTCCTACCCTGTTACACAGCCTTGGACATCACTTGCTTGCTTGTCCTTGCGGTTGTCGCCACCAGGGCCTCAGTCATGAGCGTTTACTTCGGGATGGCATCGCTCTCACCATGCTTCCATCCACGTTTGCAGCCTTCCACTATCGGCACTTGCATCCATGCGAGGCAGGATATCTATGCAGTCTTCCGGCTGATTTCATCTACAATCTGGCCCAGGTGAGGTCCGATCTCCCCCTGATTGGACAAACTGCAGCTCCGCTTCAAACCATGTGGGTTTTGCTCCATGCACTACGCTTGTTGCAAGATCATGGACTTGGCAGCTGGCAGTTGGACTTTGCCAACCCTAAAGAGGTGCTTCTGTCCTATATCAATTCCAACATCGAGATTTGCAAGCAACTCTGGCCTACTTGCGAGCATCGACATCCACAAGCGATCCACATTGAGGACGAATCTTCTTCGTTCTCGTGCCTGATTGAACCGATGACCACAGTTCAGCATCTTCTTCATGCACATCAGCAGTTGCTTGGATGGGCTCATCGCATCACTCTCTACAGGGATGGAATTCCGCAGCTTCCTAATGCACTGCTGCGAGGTGGCTCCTATCAGCTCCGGGTCACACAGCCCAAGCAGGCTCGACCGGCCCCAACCGATCAAATCACTGTCAAGGTTCATGACGGGATCACCCAGCATGAATTTCGTGGTCCAGCTGGAACTCGGCTATCTTCCATCCTTGAGGCGCTTGGCTTTCAATACAAGAGTGGCATTGAGTTCTTCAACTCCTTTCGCAGCTTTCGATGGGGTGATGCTCTATGGCAAAGCGAACAAGGTGAAGTTCGGGGACTTGGACCAGTTCCTCTTTCTGCCACTGGTGTTCATCACTTTGAAGTCTATGACGAACTTCAGCACATCCTCTTGCTTTTACCGGATCATGTTCGTGCAGCAGTGCAAGTTGTTCCTCATCACATTGTCCAGCTACTCCTCACTCGGCCTGCCAGCTTCGCATCCAAGCTGCTTCTCAACGAGCACAAGAAGGCCTTTACATGGCTTCTCTTTCCCCTGCTAGCCCAGTCGCACTGGAGTTTGCTGATCTTGGACTTTCCGAACATGGACTTTTTCTACTTCGATGGACTTCGTGACTTTCACTTGGACTTGGTGGAGCAGGCTGTCGCTGTCATTGTCAATGCCTTTGGCTTGGCTTCTTCTCGCATCCAGCAGCTGAATCCTGTCCAACAGCAAGGAGGGGACTATTGTGCAGCAGTGCTTCTTCACAATGTTGGCATCCACTTTGGCTTGTGGCAGCCTATGTCTTCGGCATCTCTTCAGCAGTGGGCAGCTTCGCTTCAGCATCAAGAGGAATTGAGGGGCAATGGACTGGCAGATTTCTCGCAAACACATGCCTGGCTTTGCAAGTTTTTGATCACCAAGGGTGTCCCCGAGGAAGACTCAGCAGCTCGTGCCACCCTGGCCTTGAACAAGCTTGGTCAAGGCCCCATCGCCAAGGCCATCTCTCAGGCCAACCCATGGGCATCGCTGAAGCAGTTAGCGAACTCTCAGCAGCGTCCCTTTCAGTGGATCCAGCACAATGAGTTGATGAACCATATACAGAAACGGGCCAAGGAGCAACACGGTGCCGCTCCTAGACAATCCAAAAAGCCCTCCAAGAAGCGTGCTGACCCGGCGCCTCCTGTTTCTCCAAATGCCCTGGTGCTGGCCCCGAAGGCTTTTGTCGACGACAAAGACCAGGAGCTCTTTCAGCTTCCGATTGACAAGGTCAATCCGGAATCCCAAGGCATTATCTTGGGCACGGTTGAACAAGCTGCCAACTTCTTGAAGGGGCAAAAACCCATTTCGATCAATGCGCTAGCTCTTCTCACCACAACAGAAATTCCGGATGCCTTGCATGGTAAGATGACCGTGCAGCATATGGTATGGCCTGCTCTTCTGGTGGACAACTCAGATCCGATTTTGGTGCGTGGCTCCTGTCTTCAGCTTGGAGATCATGATGTGAAGAAGGTGCTTGGCCCTGCTCCTAGCCCGGCATCCTTCGTTCCTGAGCTCTTCAAGCTTCAAGTGTACCAGGATCAGTGGCCTGATTCCTGGTCGGATTTTGTGGGACGTCCTCTCAAGGCTCTTGTCCAGCACTATGAATGTCTCCAGTATTGTGATGGAGCAGGGTGCAACAACGCCCCATCCTGCAAGCGTTTCCATCCGGCTGTGGAAGAGGAGGTGGACATGGTTGTGCTAGACGCTTTTGGATGGAAATGGTGTGAGGCTACTGGGTCTACAGCTACCCCCAAGAAGGCCGCTTCCTTCGGCATCATGGTGCGAGTTCCTCCTTCGGCTGCTCCTGCTCTCTTGGCAATCTCTGCCACTGATGGTCTCTATACAGAGTTGCGGGAACCAGTCACGAAAGGACCCAGTTCCAAGTATGCTGTGGTATGGATCAAGGGTGATCTGCAGCAAGCGATCCACTTCAAGTGCCATACAACCAAGGCTTTGCATGTCGTCCGTTCACATCAGCGATATGGACTTCGTTGCCTCACTGCTGATCAGGAGACCTTACACAAGGCAGCCTTCCCTAAGTTGCCCTTCGTTGCTGGCTCTAATGCCCTGCAATTCGAAGTTGGTCCTTGGCCCTATGGTTCAACCAAGCAGTCCATTGCTCAGTCCCTGCACGCTGCTGGCTGGGCAGCCAGACCGCTTCGTCCTACGCATGGTACTCCTGAAGGCCGATACTGGTTGATTGGTGCTGAGGCTCCTCATGCCTCTCCCATTCTGCAACTTGGAGATGCATCTCTCATCATTACGCCCATTGCTGCACTCAAAGGACGAGCGCCACCAACAGTCATGGGCTCATTGCAGACCTTGCAACGGCTTCAAGCTCCTTTGGGAGAAGATCCTCTTCAAGTTCGTGATCCCTGGGCATCAGCACTACCATCACCGCCTGTGTCAGCCTCTTTGCCGGCTTCCTCAAAGCTTGATGAAATCTCCCAGCAGCTTCACACTTCGGTTGCTGAGCAGGTACGTGAGCAGTTACGCACCTTTTCGGATTCCTGCATGGATTCAGATGACTCTCGCATGGCACAGATGGAAGCCAGCATTTCAGAGTTACAGGCTCAATCTTCTCAGTTTGCTGGCTGGTTCTCAGAAGCCGGGGAGCGCATGCAGTCTCTGTCACACCAGGTCAGCTCACAGGAAAGCCAGCTGGTTGAGCTCACCAACAAGGTCACACGCACAGATCAGCGTACAGAGCAATTGCATCAAACGGTCGGCAAGCTGCGTCAGGACTTTCAACATGACCTTGAAGCTTCTATGGCACGGCAACTGGAAAGCATGGAGTCGCTGCTCAGCAAGCGACCTCGAACCTCGGATTGACTAGGGCGGCGGGGGCCTTCAAGGCTGACCCGCTCTTGGTGGCGCTCCTGTCGCGCCTTCCTTTGGCTCTTCCTTCTATGGGGTGGCTTCCGTTTGGGTGAAGCCAGCAATCCTGGCCCGATGGCCTCTTTCAGTTCCTCGTCTTCTTCAGGATCGCAGATTGAGGATGTGGGTTTTCCTCTTCTTGGGCGTCGCCCCTTCCATGATGCTGAAGTACGCACAGTTGACTCTCACTCCGAAGCCACCTCCTCTTTGGTGGTGGGCACGGCTAATCCCAGTGGCATCAATAGCAAAGCTCTTGCTTTCGCCTCTCTTCCTTGGGGCATTTGGAATGTGGCAGAAACGCAAGCAAGTCAGCCAGTTTTTGCTCGCTTTCAGCGTGAACTTCATTGGATGACTCAGAATCGCCTGCATTGCAAGCATGGTCACTATGCTCCGTTGCGGCCTCGCTCTGACTTTGCTGGTGCTTGGACTGGCGTTGCACAGATCTCGCCTGGACCTATCCATCCAGTTCCTCTTCAATGGTCAGGTGCCTCGTATCAATCTGGGCGGATCATGCTCTCCAGCTTTTCTCTTCAAGAGCACTCTGTCTTGGGAGCTTGTATCTACGCTCCTCCATCGGGTCCCACGTACAAGCAAGCCCGCAGACTTTCTATGGAGCTCCTTGAGCAAATCACCTCGGAACTTGTGCTAGCGTCCTCGGGACCTCGCTTCATCGCAGGGGACTTCAATTGTGACACCCACGATCTGCAAACCTTTGCCACCTGGAGACTTGCTGGATGGGAAGAAATTCAGCATCTCGCTGAGCAGAGATTTGACATGCCTCGATCTCCTACGTCAAAGGGCGCGGCCATTAGTGATCACTTGTGGATCTCGCCAGAGCTTCAGCAATGGCTATGTGAAGTGCATGTAGAACCAGATCACTTTGCAGATCATGCCATTCTCTATGGCCGATTTTGTCTCCCTTCCTCACGATGGTGGCAGCACTTTTGGTCTATGCCTTCTCTCTTGCCCTGGCAGCACCTTCGCCCGGATCAGCTACAGCCCTCGGCACCACACAGTTGGGATAAGGACAACATGACCGCTTCATTTGTTCAATGGTCCAAGTCCACTGAGCGGGACTTGAAAACGACAGCTGCCCACCCGCTCCCTGTTGGCTGTTGGGGGAGGGGACAAACCTTGCGTACTCGGGCACGACCTGTTCAGCTCGTTCCAGTTCGGCAAGGCAGGAATGGAGAACTTCAACCAAAGAGTGGATTCCTTTGTCGTGCGGTTCATCACTGGTGTCGCCAGCTTCGCAGACTGCAAGCCTACTGTCAACGGGCCAAATCTGTTACTCATTGGAGGATCCAACTTGACCAGATGGCCACCTGGCGGGCTATTCTGCATGCTCATGGATTTCATGATGGATTTCGGCAATGGTGGCTCAGACGTCCTTTGCAGCACGCAGGCGCCCCCAGCGTCTTTCCTGATTGGCCTCCTTCATTGTCAATGGCTCGCATCCTGCTTCATGACTTTGAGGCCAACTTTCGACGCTTCGAATCTTGGCACTTTAGACGCCGTGAAGAGCTTGTTCAAGCTCGCCATCTCCAGCACAATCAGATTCTTACTAAACAGCTCAAGCAGGATGACTACATGCCCATGACCCACCTGGTTAAGGAGCAAGAAGCTAGCATCATCCATATCAATTTGGATCATTCGGTCAAGCTTTCTCAGCAGCTTACTCTCCATGACCACCAGGTCTTTGCTCTGAATCAGGAACCGGCTCTTGTTCAAAGGAAGGACAGTGGAGACTACAAGATTGAGAGTGATCTACTCCTGGCTGAAGGGCAAACTGTCACGGCTCGTACTCAGTGCAGATCCTTTCAGGCGATGGAAGCTGAACTGGCGAGCCTATGGACACCCATCTGGCAGAAGCATTCTGGATTGGCTTTGTCCCATTGGAATCGCATTCTGGCCTTTGGACTTCGCTACATGCCTCGGCTTCCACCTTTGCCCATTCATTGGACTTCTCATCAGTTGGCCTACCTGTCTGAGCACTACCGCAAGCGGGTCACTAGGGGTCCTGATGCTTGGTCGCGTGAAGATATTGCCTGACTGCCCGTTCACAAACAGGATGACTTGGTCCGGATGTTTGAAATCATTCAGCAAGGAGCTTCCTGGCCGCAGCAGTTGGTTACTGGCTTTGTCATTCCCATCAGGAAGGTGCCGGAGGCAGAACAGGCCAAGCACTATCGGCCTATAGTACTCATTTCCTTCCTGTATCGTGTTTGGGCAACTGGCATTTGCCGGGCTTATCTTCCCTACCTGGCCAAAGTCATTCCTTCTTTGGTCTTTGGCTACGTTCCTGGCAGAAGGGCTGAAGACATTTGGTACATCCTGCAGGCGCTCATCCAGTCCTCTTACTCCACGCACACGGAGCTTCTGGGCTACAATGCTGACTTAGTTAAGTGCTTCAACACACTACCACGGATGCCCATCCTGCTGCTCCTTCAACTCATGGGCTTTCCTAGAGATTGCGCCCTTGCGTGGCATCAAGCTCTCTCTCAGCTTGAGCGTCGTTTTCGCATTGCCAACCACACTGGCGATGCCATACTCTCCAGCACTGGTTTTCCAGAAGGTGATCCTCTCAGTTGCATTGCCATGCTGGCTTTCAATACAGCTCTCGATACCTATCTCAAGGTCTGCAGCTCCAATGTGGCCTGTCCGGTTTTTGTGGACAACATTCAACTGGTTGCTGATTGTCTTGGTCACCTGTGCCATGGCATCAATGTCCTCCAGGTCTTCATGAACTCCTGGGACATACATCTTGATCCTGGCAAGTGTTATGCTTGGGCCACTTCGGCTGATGCACGACACGCTCTGAGGCAATTTGGATACACCACCAAACTGGCAGCCAAAGATTTGGGAGCTCAGATGACCTATTCACGAGTCTCCAGAACACAAGTGGCACAAGGTCGCATTGATTCAGTTGCTCATCACTGGCGCATTCTGCGGTTCTCTTCCGCTCCGCGATGGGCCAAGATGCTTGCTATTCGATCCATCACATGGCCCAAGGTCTTGCATGGGGTCGCCAATCGACTCCTTCCGGTTGTGGCCACGGACAGGCTTCGCTCCGCTGCCATGAGAGCTCTTCACTGGGATCGTGCAGGGGCCTCGCCGCATGTTCGTTGGTCGCTCATGCAGATGCCTCAGTTGGACCCTGAATACTACCAGCTATGGCAAGTGCTGTCAACTTTTTGGCGCATGGTGCATCAGTTTCCTTTGATTCTGGAACTTTGGGTACAGTCCATGGACAATCCGGGGTTTACTGGTCAAGGCCCCTTGCATGCGGTGGTGCAATGCCTTGGCTTCCTAGACTGGTACCTAGACGCGCAGCTTCATTTGTGGATTCAGCATCTACGTATCGATTTTTGGCAGCTCTCGCTTGAGAGTCTTCAACTGCTCTTGCAATATTGTTGGCGGCAAAAAGTCTGTTTGAAGATTCGTCATCGAAAGGATTTCACAGGGCTTCACTCCATCAACTGGTTGGCTTCATTTCGGTCTTTGACCTTCCCTCAGATGGATGTCACAGAGCTTTTGGCCACTATACAGGATGGCACGTTCTTTACCTCTCAGGCGAAATCGCACTTTGATGGGCAGCACACGGGTCTTTGTGATTCTTGCCAAGTGCCTGACACATGACACATCGGGCACTACATTGTCCTATCTATGAGTCAGTGCGTCAACGTTTTCCTGCAGAGGTGAGGTTGTGGCCGCAGCGCTCTGCGGCATTTACTCATCACGGACTTCATCCGGCCAATCCTCATCAATGGGCGTACTGGAAGGCACTTCTCGCCCTTCCTGATCGTCGGGAAGAATTTTTGGACCTTCAAGTTTTGGCTGAGCACACTTTTATCTTTACGGATGGAAGCTGTAGCATGCCTCGGAAGCCGACTTGCGCTCTGGCAGCCTGGGCGGTCACTACCATGGAACCGAAACGCACACTGGCTCAAGGGCCTGTTCCTGGGTTGGTGCAGTCCATTGATGTTGCGGAGGCCATGGCAGTTCACTCGGCCTTCTTGTGGGTTTTGAGAACTGGAGCCAAGGCGACCATTTTTTCCGACAGTCAGTATGCAGTGGATAACTTCAAGTACCTGCAAAAGCATCGGGAGGTACCGCCACGATGGAAGCATCAATCTCTATGGTTCCAGGCTCTGCACACTGTTGAACAGATTGACATGAACCAGGTCATAGTGCAGAAGATTTCTTCCCATGTTGCGGACGAGGAGTGCTTTTCACCTCGTGCTGACTGGTGTAAGAGAGGCAATGACTTTGCTGACACTTTGGCTCGCTGGCAGAACAGCCTTCGCTCTCCTGCTTTTTCACAAGTGCATGCGTTGTTTTGTGATGAAGAAGAGCGGGCTACAGCGGCGACTCGTGGACAGCTGAACTTCCTCCTGCACTTAGCGCGTGTGAGTCTTTCTACCACTCCTGAGTGCGCTGAAGCTGAGGATGCCCCGGTCGGTTCCCTAGGTAGCGGCCTCGAGATGAACGACGCGTCTCTTGCCGCGAAATTCGGGCCACATGCTTCGAGCCTTGGAATTCGTTTGTGCCGATTTTCATCCAGTTTAGTCGGGGACTTGATTTCTTGGTTGGTGGCTGTGGACATCACCTCTTCTTTCAAGGGTCCTGTTTCTTTGTTGGAGCTTATGGTGGGTTTTTGTCTTGATGGTCATCAGATCCCCCTTTTTGTTCACCATGATGGAGGTGACAATCTTCTTTTACAGGAAGTGCCCTGCAGTGGTCTGGTTCGTTCGACTGTTGCCACTGAATTGTGTGTTTTTACTGATTTGTTCAAAACGATACAAGGGCATTTCAACTTGAGTGTGGATTTTTGCCAGATGGCTCGTCCACATTTACGGATTTTCAGGAGGATGTCATGCATCCGGATGGGTTGGAGCGGTAGCATCGCTGCTAGGGTGAATGAGGACTTGTCTCGCTTTACTTCCTCCTGGCCGATCCGATTTGCTCGTGACTTGGCGCGGCCTCGTTGAGGCTTTGGGCGTCGCTAGGTGACACATGGCCGCCTGAACATGGCCACCATGTGCCGTTCGACTTCGTCGACCGCGTGTGAATAAAATACTATTTTTGCGCGATTTTTGCTCTTCCAGGGGAGGGTCTTCCCCACCGTGGGCCAGCAGTAGCAGCAGCTGCTACTGCAGTATCCAGAAAAAGGACCCAACCCCCATGGGGTCCGATTTGGTGTTCTCTCATGTTCTATCATGTTCTATCCCCAAATCATGTAATGAGGTGACATGAAGCGGACAGACTTCGGCGTCGCCGCATCGCCGTGTACCAGGTGAGCATCACCACACCCAGTGGAGAGGTGAAGACCCAGGAGTGCTTGGTGGGTGCCGACATTGTGGTCCAGGTGTGGCGCTTTTGAAATCAGATGAGCAAGGGCCAATACAACGAGTAATAAGTAGACTTTACTCCAACCTATTAGCAATGGCCTCCAACCTAATAGCGATGGCTTCCTATGAAGAGTCTTGGAGGTGAACCGCCATTGACTTTGTAAAATTCCGCAATCACTGTGTGTAGCAGTAGGGAACCTCGAAGAGTGATACCAATACCATGGCAGCAGAAGGACTAGCATGTAAAGACCACCGCAGATGTTGAGGATCGTTGAGGTGATCGCCCCAATCCGCCTCGGCGCCCTTTCCAGGTGGGTGATGAGGTGACCAAGGATGAGCCCCTCACCACCAATCCCAACGTGGGTGGTTTTGGACAGGAGCTCACTGAAGATGAGACAGGCATTCTTTTGTTTTGTTCCGTGTGGTCTTCGGACTGTGGTTTGATCCTCTTTTGGCCGATTCTGTTTGCTTGCCCAGCAGCTCCTTCGAAATGCATGGTTCGTACCCAGCTTTCAATTGTTGTTGAGGGTTGCCAGCTTTTTCTGCACGCCGATGCTGTAGATTTTGGTGTCCTGCATCATCCCATTTGTTTGCGTTTGTTTAACGGCAATATCTCAGCATACGTAGTGATGTAGAGGACTGGAGGTTCACGCCAAGCCTTGTGCAGCTCAACAACACTTGGACAAAACCTTGTGTTGCACTGTTGCGCTTGCGCGTCACAATCTTGCCCATTTGATGCGGGCGGGGCCTTGTGGTTTGCAAAGTCATGGCAGGAGGAGAAGGAATGCGTCCTGCAGGACATGAATCGCGTGTATGCTTACTGTGCCTTTGCTTTCTCTTGCTTCATTGCTCAGCTCAGCTTCGTTCTGAAGAAGATCCTTTGATTGCATGAATGTGGCTCGAAGGCCAGGAATTTTCGACGGTCAATTGATTGAGCAAACAACATCAATGTCAATTTCACGTTAGGCAACATTGACAGCCCCCTTTTCTCCTTTGAGGAATGACCGTGCTTGTCATTTACAGCCCCCAGAGTAGGGACAAGCACGGTGACTATGTATGATCCCAAATGTACTGGAATCGGGTTGGAGTCAAGTGATTGAGAGCACTAGCAGTTCATGACTGTTGTACAGCTACGCACACGCGCACACACACATACTGTATAGGATAATATATATATATATAGTAATATGTATATAATGATATATATATATTCTATATATATACATATATATATATATTTACTTATTTATGGAGAGAGAGAGGCTGACAGATGTATTTGCAGTTTGCATCGTTGATTTGGTGTTGGCAATGTCCTCCTCTGCCTGCTGGCCGAAAGATTTCAGCATATTTTTGCAACGTTTGTCGCATCAATTATAAACGATGCACATGTGGCCCATGCATGGTCAATGTGGCGCAAACCTCGGGCCACCGGGTCGTCTCAGGTACGAAGCACCAAGAAATACACCCTAAACCAACCAATGCGTGGGCGGTTTTGATCGTTTGATTTTCTCCACATCGGACCTTCCAAGCATGTTGCTTGTCAGTTTGGCAACCAAGGAAGCAGTTTGAGAAGGTCCAGCTGGCCGAGGGCTTCTGAGTGCCCCCGTGGGGAGCGACATGCGAAGTCCTTCTGTAGAAGCTCAAGCACCTGCCACTTTTGGTGCTACAACAGTAACGCGCATTGCTGGCAGTTATATAGCTACAATAGTGTCACAGACTCCATGTGCCAAGCATGTTTCATTGAAGAATGCCTTTGGTTTTCGCATTAGTTCGGCTGGTCACGGCTAGCCGTTGGCCCCTTGGTTCTCAGCCTCCGTTCCTTTTTGAGACACCCGTGACTGACCTCAAGATTCTCCGACACGCCTTGTGGCGGCCAGCGGGGGGACTCCAAAAAGCCGCGGACTACAATGCAGTGCATGGTTGCCTGACACATGGATTGTCAAAGGTGCCATTGTTTGAGGTTTAAGCTCACCAAGCCCAATGTGAGGAGGCAAGCTCTATTACTGTAGTTAGTTGGATTTTGAAGTCCTTGCTCATTCAGGACTCTTAAGACTTGACTACACGCAGGATGTGGGATGTTATTTTTCCAATTTCGAATGGTTCGCACGCACTGCGCCTCAGCCGTTTGGACCAAAGCGCTGCGCTCGAACAGCCTGAAAAGCCCTGGCCACAGCACCGCCATGGCCCTCGCTCCTGCCTTCGTGGTTGGCCCGTCCGTGGCAGTTTCACCGGCAGCCCTTCAGGTGGAGCGTACGGCGTACGCGGTGGCCGTGGTGGCGCGTTCGGCCGTGGTGGCGAGCAGTTTCGTGTTCCAAACGCCGGGAATGTCTTGTGAATGGGATTGGGGATGCAAGATGAGAGAAGTGCCAGCTCAAAAGGCATCCTCAAATTAAGGCACAGTTTCTCCAATGGAAGCGGTGGCAATGATGGACGCAGCTCTAGACGAAACAGGCAATTCAGGGGCTTTGTCGAAAAATCACAGTTCGCAACTGCGGCTCCAAGAAAGAAACGCCGATGCGCAGGTGGAGCATGCAACAAGGAGCAGGCAAATTCCCAGTGGTCACGGGTCAGCAGGAGCAGGCAGGGCTCGGTTTTGGAGCAGTTGGAGAGTTGCTGCTTGTGAGCCTCTTGAGGTGTTCGAAGATTGAGATCGAATGTTCCAGGGTTTTGGATTTTGCAGGAAATTTGCAGCTTATGAATCTTAATACATTTGGGTAGACTTACTTGAAGAAACCTGCTTGGAATTGAAGCGGTGTTCAAGGCTTGTTCTTGAGTTGTGTTTCCTGGTTTTCTTCTGTTAACGCTCCTTTGCAGGTGCAGCGTTGGGAGTTGCCGGCTTGGCGGCTGCTGCCGGACTGCGCAAGTCCATGCGGGGGCGCCGCTCCACCAAGGGGTCTGTGATGGTCGGCAATGCCAACGTTGCAGAGCCGGAGCCCCGTGGCAAATTTAATCGCCATCGTTGCGCTGTGTATATATTATATTACCCTATATATAAAAAATACTTTTATCTACTTTAAACATAGATACAATATTAATCATAGATACGTGTAGAGAGCACAACCAGACACACAAACACACACGTATATCATATATCACATGCAGCCGGTAGTGCTCCTTGCACTCTCAAGGGCAACCATTTGCTCTGTTGACAGTCGATGGGTTTGGGACTGAGGGGAGACAAGTGCCTTCGTGTTTGCAATGGCCTTTCTCAGGAAGCGAAAGACAGGGCACTTCGGCCCAATTGATGAAATAGGCTGCCTTCGGCGTTCCTTTGGAGACATGTCTTTTCTAGCCAAGGTCCTACTACCGTGACCACCTGGTGGCTTGCCGCGCGCAGCTGAACGGCGTGGATGCGCCTACCCCT